CCATATGAATTAACTATACTTGTATTTGTACTTCAAGATATATCATTTCAACTCCACTTAATCTGGTACACATTTTTCGTGATCCACTTACTCAGTATCCAGAAGCAGCAGTGGGGAAGGGACAAGCGCAGAAGAAGGTTGTTCTTTGCTGGTCCCAGTTGTGGGAGATTTATGTTTCCTAATGTAATTTTCCCTGCTGACCAAAGTTCATTAGCCTTTTGCAAATCCTAAGAGTTATTGTTTACTCTCCAGGGCAAAGAAGAAGGTTTAGGGCCAGAGGGGCAGGCAGCATTTCTTAGGACTCTCTTCTTACTGAACTCCCAGGGGACCTGACCTCTCTAGTCCAGCCAGGAGACAGCAGTGTTCTCTGTGTCAAACAGTGCAACTGGGTTTCTCACAGCACCAGACACTGAGATTCATCTTGTTCTTCCATACGTGACAGAGAAAAGGAACACCAAAGTGGAGGGGTATATATAATAGGACTCCATTCCTTGACTGAGCAAATTGGCCTGCTTTAGCTCATGCTTTCTAAGGAAAGGAAATCGGAAACCAAACAAGTAGTTGCCTACTCTGATTTGCTCTACTCATTTACTCTTGGCCATACCTGGGTATTCAAAGGCTATCTAGATACACTTTAGTGATCCCAGGGAAGAATGTGCTTGCAAATGGTAGGGAGGACGGGGTTTATTGTGTAGGAAGCTCTATAAGAAGTAAGACTTGATAAAACAAAGGGAAAAAAATCAGCAATGCACAGATGGCACATTTCCTATCTACATGACAGGATAAAGGAAGATAATTCTTCTTAAAGAAGGAAATGATAGGCTTTTTCAACAATCTCTTGATCAACGGAACTTCCATACTCTTAAATAGCTTTAATATATAGTTTAATTTAAGGTGTGTGTGTGTGTGTGTGTGTGAATGTATGTTATGTTTTGGCTTTTACTTTCTCATATAAAATTAATGGTATAACACTGTTCATTATTAACTTAAGACAGTCTCTTTAAACTCTCATTTTAAGCTTCTTGAAGTAAGTCCCTCATTTAATATGTTCATTGCATTATGTTGTAATAAACCACAATGGAAAAGAATATGAAAAAGAAATACATAACTGAACTACTTTGCAGTACACCAGAAACTAACACAATGTTGCAAATCAACTATACTTTAATAAAAAAAATTGTTCATTACATTATATGCCAATCTGAGACACATTCAACTCTTTAGCTGCTGCAAGTAGTGTGCCTGTTGCCCTGGACTCTATGTCTAATTAGCTTAACCCCTTAGTTGAAGGGCACATCAAACCTGGGTGTGAGGCAGACCCTCAGGGCCTGTGTATGCAACATCACTTTGGGGCCATGTCTTCTTTATATGTGAAAAAGTGTGTATGTTCCTGGATCTACAGCACGGAACAAATCTGACCTGGAAAGGAGACCAAAGATGACCAGAATGCCAACTAGATCCATGTGCCAACAGTTAGACTACCTGAAACGAGCTGTCATGTGATTTGAGAAACAGGTTATATTATCTAATGATTTTGGAAGATGTTAGTACCAAATGAATTAGCAATTTGACTTTTAGATGCAGAAATCAGCATTCTAAGTGCACCAAAATACATATACACAAATGTTTATAAATATATTCTTCTTAATTGACCCTTATCAACTCTCATAAACATAGGATTCGTAAAGAAATTGTAGTATATTTATACCATGGTACATTATTTAGGGAAAGAATGAGCATTATAGATATTACAAACAGTATCCTGGATAAAAATTCTTAAGAAGAAAAACAAAGAATATATACTATGTGCTTCCATTTATAGAAAACTGAAAAACAAGCAAAATTTAACTATAAGGTTTAAGAATACATGCTTAGGTTGTAAAAGTATACAGAAAAAACAAAGAAATAATTATTTTAGTTATTAGTACAGAGATTACCTTTGGGGAGAGTGAGAGATTGTAATGACAAAGGGACACTTACAAGATTTGTAGGGAATGAGAGATGGTTTATTTCTTCAACTAGATGGTGTTTTCATGATTGTTTCCTTTACAGTAACTTGTTATTTTCACTGTTCTGTATGAGAATTATATTCCAAAAGACAAAGAAAATATGTCTGCACTAGTGGCTATATTACTTACTGGCTTCTAATCACCTAAATCACAGATTGAATTCTAACTACTCATTCTTATGTAAGCTAAGATAATCACCTTGTTTGTATTTTCTACTCACTGTCAACTCTTATGAATCAACTTCAGTCTTCTATTTTAGAGACAAAAAATGTTTGCTCAATTATTACACATGTTACTCTTCTGTTTAATTAATTATAGGCTTAAATAGCTTGACTGCCCACTCACAGTCGTATTATTCTCTACAGTCTCCATTTGAAAGTTATTTTTCTGCCTCATAATGAATATTTTTATGGTTTATGTTGTTTGTCTTTTCTCAACTCCAAAGGATAAATGAAACCAGGTATTCTGAAGTATAAAGAAGTATAAAGAATCTGTTCCTTTTTTTTTTTCTTGATACTGCTCGATCGATTTTTTCTTATTGACGTATGCTTTTCAAATACAAATGTATTCCTAACACCATATGTGTATTATGGTGCATTTGTACACTTTATATTTTGGGATATGGCTCTCCCATTCACACATGATTAATCTGTTATTGTCCTCGTATTCTATTTGCCTTGGTCTCTTATTCAGGAATATCACATACTTACTATCTCAATTCTGTATCCTTTATGTATGATGATCTCTTGGAAAGAACGCATATATTTCCCATTTTACTTTCTTTTGAGTTGTCCTCATCAGTTATTCATTATTCACTATGGTTGCTGCAACATTTTGGAACATTTGATATTCTAACATTGAATTAAAATGAATTAAGTTTTCATAATTTCATCAAGCAATTTTATGTCTCATATCCACTAATATACTCTTTTATTTCTTCCTCACTATATTTTTCCTTTGTTCATGTACTTCTTCTTCCCACAAAGTTTGTTTAAAACTAAGTATCTTATGATTGAACTTTATTTTTGCCTTATTCAACAAGATTATTTTTTCCAAAAGTATCCTCTACCTCTCCCTCTTGAATGACATGGTTTCTTATTTTCCTTTTTCTTTCTTTTTGGTTGAAATGTTTGCTTGGCTTATTTCTTTCTTTGACTATGCATTATTTTAAAACTTAGAAAAACAGTAATTCCTCTATGTCTACATGGTTCTTTTTAAGAATCATCTTATTTGTTCTGAATCTTAAGATTGATTGAAGAAAATCTAAGCCTGATCTCTACTGACTCAGCATCCTGAAAAGAGGCTGAAGGTGTATGGGCAGCAAAACAGCAAAGAGTGAAGAAAGATCTGTAGTCCCTGTTTTAGAAGACAGTTTCTCATATGTCAGTTTGTGTTTGGCTCATACTGTATTTCAAGATGATGTAATGATTCATTCCATTTCTCATCTTTGTTTAGCTTACTAATATTGGAATGAACGCTCTAACATTCAGATTTTCTGTAAGATGATATTGCATATTACCTTAAAGCCTCTTGTTTTGTTGCTTTTGAATACCATTGATCAACAGCAGGAAAATGTTTAAATTGTTCATTATTTAGTGTCATTTTAACTGAGATTCAAAGTAGTCTCAGGCATTGACTTACTGTTGATTCAAGCGTAAATCAGATACAGTTGCTGTATTCAAGACACTTGCAGTATGAAATTTCTAAATGCAGGGGAGTGCATTTGTTTATGTATTCAATTCTTGAACTTAAACCTCTGGTTTTGGGTAAAACTCAAATTGGGTAATTTGTCAAAAGATAGATTCACAAAGATAATAGAAAATGAGACAACCAGAATTATAGCTATGGATTAGTTTAGCAGTTAGAAAATACTGATGTATTACATGGTTCTTGGGAGTTACCTGGAATGAAGTGTTATTTTCTGCAGTTTTGTTTTCTGTATGGGCTTATATGTTGCCAGAGAGGAAATTCCAGGTTTAAAGGAACAGAACAAAAACAGACAAATAACAGAAACCATCTGAAATCTCAGCATAATAGAGTTTGCTCTTTATATGGAGAGCAAGTCAGAGTTCTTATATGTTTGATGACTTATTAAATACCTCCTTAAATTATCAGCATCTGAGATGTAAAGCGTTTTTCAAATGTAGATATTTGTTCAAGTTATAGCTTTTCATCATATTCAGGTTGAACTTTGAACCAACCTAAAATTTCTATAGAAGGAGTCACTAATGATCAAGATGTCTTTTGGAGAGGAACATTTTCAGGACATGATCGCGAATTTGTTTAGTCTTCACTCCATAAACAATAGGATTGAGAAAAGGTGGGACTAGCAGGTAAAGGTTAGATAAAAGGATATGAACATAGGGTGGAATGTGAGAACCAAACCTATGTGTGAAGAAAGAGAAGAAGGCAAGGAGATAGAACTGTAGGAAGACACAGATGTGGGCTATGCATGTATTAAAGGCTTTGATTCGTGCCTCCTTCTGGGGCAGTTGAAAGACAGTGATAAAGATTTGAACATAAGACAAAGTGATAAAAATTATGTCAAACCCTAAGATAGTGAAGGCAACAAAAAGACCATATATCTTGTTGATCTGGACATCTTCAGTAGCCAGCTTCACAAGGGCCATGTGCTCACAATAGGAGTGGGAGATGATGGTAGTTCGGTAGTGTTTAAGATGACATTTGATAAGCACTATGGATGGTACTGTAAGAATAGCAGCCCTGAGTATCACCCCAACTCCAATGTGAGCCAAGAGTTGTCGAGAGAAGACAGTAGCATGTCTCAAGGGGTTACAGATGGCCACATAGCGATCTAGAGCCATCGCCAGCAGGACACCTGATTCAATTGCCTGGAATGAGTGAATAAACCACATTTGGAGAAGACAGGCTTCAAAAGAAATCTCTGGCACATGAAACCAGAAGATGCCTAACATTTTGGGGAGAATGCAGGTACTAAGTGCAATGTCTGTGGCCCCCAACATGGCCAAAAAAATGTACATAGGACTATGGAGGCTGTTTTCATATTTGATTATAACTAAAATTAGGGAATTCCCAATTACAGCAATAAGGTACATGGCACAGAATGGAATCCCGATCCAACACTGCACTGACTCCAGTCCAGGAATCCCGACGAGCGTTAGTACAGAAGGCATGAAGACAGAGCCATTGAATATGAGCATGGTGACTTGGTCAGTAGAATCACGCAGAGGTACTGCTGTATCATCTTCTAGTCCCTGTTAGGACTTCATAAATTAAAAATAAGAAGAAATTAATTTATTTTAGCAAAGTATACTGTAGTTAGATTAGGAGCATACCATTTTATCTTTTCTATACCAACTATTCCTCTGTAATTTTCTATCTCTTTTGCCAGTGCCATTAAATGACCAATCCTCAGGTTCCATATCTGCATATCTTTATCATTTTCAGTGAGAAAAATTAAGTGGACGGGGTGACTTCTTTCTGGTCCATGAGTATTGGAACAAATTCCCTTTATCTTGTGTTTGTTAATCACCATCTGTGCTTTTTGTGCCCTGCCAGTTGAAATTAAGAGAAAAAAATGTACTCCAGGATAAAGGTATTTCAAGAAGTAGGCTCTACCTAGGCTAGACATGAAGGATCTACAGTGATGACAAACCATTCTGCTTGATCATAATCAGAAAACAAATTTTACTATATATACATTTTTCAGTTTTGAAGTTCACTAACTTTTTTTGCAGATTAGTCTCTTCATGGTTTGATCCCCTGCAATCGACTCTCTCAGAATGCTTTTAACCTAATTTTTCAAACTTTCTGTGTTTTCCCAAAAAACAACCATACATCTTGCACCTTCTCCTACTTAACCTCCGAGAAAATAAATGTGTTACTTTTAAATTCATGGGTGTTATCCTCAGCAGTTCCTTTTAGATATATCCTCGCTGTGCTCTGCTACGTGCACATCACTTCTATTCAATTTCAAGTGTCAATGTCTTCTATTCTTCTCCCTCATTATCAATAACTATTAAGCCTGAATAGTTACTTTTCTTAACTATTTGCAATAACATAGAACTCTCTATTGAATACAATATTTTCTTTACTCATAGAGATATCCATCTTATAGCTACTGAAAGTACAATTTCTGTACAGTTGAAATATTTCTTTGACACATTATTTGGCATAGGACTAGATCCATCCCCTTCTTTTTCTCTGCCCTTCGCTGGTTACTTCACACATAACACTATATGCTTCCCGGGCCTTCTATGGATGGCTTTGACTTACTGTTTTCCAAATCCCTTGGGATTTTTCCTGCCTCGCAGTTCCCTACAACCTGCGTTTATCTCTTCCAAAATAAAATTATGTCTGTATCTATATCTGTATCTATATACATACACAAATATAGATATATTTGACCTCCATATATGCGAAATACTAACTCATAAATTTTATTATTTTTTAACTAACCATACAGGTCATTTTGAAACCATTAAAACAAAGTATAAATGCATAAAAGACAATGAGAAAGGCCTAAAACAACAGATATGGGACAAGAAAAATCTCACAATACATTCTCTCCATCATCCTTCAAGTTTTTGCCACTGATAAAGTTGGATTGTCTCTTGGATATAAAAGCATATCTATACCCCACTTTAGGTCAGTTGCAAGAGCATTTATTGCTTCTTATTCTTAAAACTTATTCATCTCTCAATATGGCTTTCCTTTGAAAGACCTGTGTTCAGGAATTCTCCTTTGAGCAAATTTATAATATAATAAACTAGAGCTCTTTCAAATCAGAAGGTAACACTATGACATACATTTTAGAAGTTTATTTTCTAATGGTTTTATTCAATACATATTATTTAAGCATTCACTGTGATCCAAGTCTTGTTTGAAGCAATTGGGGAGCAAAGATAAACTTATTTATTGTATAATTAGGAAGATTCTAAATTGTGCTGTGTGCTTGGAATTAAAAAAGTAGCATTAACCATTTATTAAATATGCATTATTTTTTTTCACTTCTTAAGATTTTTAAACTTTTAAATTATGATATTGGCATCACTACCCTATTTTATTAATGGAAAGCTAAAACTTGTTATTGTTGTAGGTAGATCTACTTGGATCCAAATTTGATGGACCGTTGACTTAGAGAGAACAAGAAAATGTAATTTGTGTCCTCTTAGATTTTATAGTTATAATTCATAAACATTATGAGATGCACATCAGGGTGTAACTAAATCAGGTTGGGTTATACACTAAAAATTTCAATCAGTTTGTGCTGCTTCAGAATCTGAAAGAAACAACCCCTATGTTAGATTCTTCAGTCACCAAATAGTTACAATACATATTTTGTAGAACATATTTATTAGATGCTATGTTTCTGACAGAGGACTCCTTTTACAACAGCGTATCATGCACATACTTGTCAACAATCTCTGTGATTTGGCTCAAGAGTGTATGCTACTGTCTCTATCAAGAATATTAATTTGAGAGATTTAGCATGGTCAAGTGAGGAATATTTGGCCTAGAAAAGCTTGGAATGTAACATGGAAGCCAAAGCTCTAGAGAAGTAAATATTGTGAATAATTAGAGGAAGGTGGGCAAAATGAGAAGAAAGCAAGTAAACAAATGAGCAGGTACATAAAATAGAAAAGTATGCCTTCAGTCTAAAAGATCATATCTCATATGAACAAAGTAGTTACTTTCCCGGATGATAGTTCTACATTTCTAACTTTATGAGTCCTAATGATATTCTTCTAGGGAAGTGTTTTTTAATCGTCGCACAATTGCCATGGTAGGTTAGATCAATTTTTTGTTTGGGATGAGTCTCTGTAATCATAGGACATTTAGCAGCATCCCTGGTTGCTACACATTAGATGTCTGTAGCTGTCACTTGTCATGAAAATCAAAAATGTCTTCAGGTGTTACCAAATGTCCTCTGGGTGTGCAGGGAAAAGCACATCGCTTCTGGTTGCTAAATCACTCTTATAGACTTGCATTGGAAAAAAAAAATCTTTACTGAATAGGATTGAATGGTTATGTGCCTTTAATCAAAATGGGCAGGATAAGTTGCCTATGAATGAAGATCATTTTTCAGTAGAAATTAACCATGTAAGAGAGATGAAGTACGTCATTTCAGGAGAAGAGAATTTGTACAAAATCACAAAAGCAGATAAGCTATGGCGGGACTGTGAATCAATAAATAGTTTTCACATATAAAATGTTTCATAAGCAGAAATGACAGGTGTTGAGTCTAAAGAAAAGGAAAGAACACCAAATGTGAAGTTAGCATTTTAAAACAAATAATTTTAAATTTGGAGGGTGGAATGAGAGTTATTTTTTGGAAGATAAGAAATTCAGTCTGCTAGCACTTGATGAATGGCTTCAGGGCCTGGAAGTTAGGTGTAGGGAGATCAAGTCAGAAAGATTCTTGTGATAGTATACATGGGATACTAGGAAGTGATGTGGATCAAAAGAACAGCAGGAAGCAAAGCCTATGGAGACTCGCTGACTTTGTGTAGGAGAAGTCCGGAGGGATGAGGCTAAAGGTGTTCTTGGGTTGAGAATTACAGCAATGAATGACAAAAGACAAGCTGAAAGGAACTTTGTGTGTAGAGAAGTGTATGTTCATAAGAGAGAGGAAAGATAACTTAAACCCTTAAAATTCATAGGCCAAGGTAAAATTCTTGAGTCATCTTTATGGCATAAAATCTGAATTATTAGTATTACTTACAACTCCAGTTTTGAATCAGGCTGAATCCTAGGATTTAAAGGATTTAAGGAATTTGGGGCTCTAAATCCACACTCGCTACATTTTCAGGAAAGTCTTCCCTCTGTGAAGTCACATACTGATCTCTGTCTTAAGTCCTCCAGTGATAGAGGGCTTTCTTTGTTTTCTGAGATAGCTTGCCACAGCTC